TGTACGGTATGAATGGCCCCGGAAAAAATGGCCCCAGAAAAAATGGCCCCGGAAAAAATGGCCCCGGTAAAAAAGGCCCCATATGACATGTAGGTAAAAATGGCCCCAATAATCAAATTGTGTATTAAAACTGATTTTCTTGAGTCAATATATGCATTTTTGTATCTTAAATAATTTAGTTTTTAAAAGGAATGAACATCAAACAAATTGCCATTTACATTTTACTTTTTGCAAGAATTAATATTCAATGATAAAATATTCAAAGATAAATAAAAAGCCATGAATTACACTTTTTATATTTTTTTTCCATTTAAATGTTAAAAAATAGCAACAACAAAATCAATAAATCAACATAAATCATGCATTTATTAATACTAAAATAATTTACTTGTGGCCGATTTCATGGTAGAGGAATCACAATTTTCCAGAAATTCAATCTGTGTATTGTTAAACCCCACAAACAGTGGGTTAGTATGAACATAAAATTATTATTTTTTTTTTTTAAGAAAAAGAGAGTTCTACAATCATAATTATATGGTTTAGATGGGGTTTGCAGTGTGTTTAGAGGTTTGTGTTGTATTTGCAAGTATTTTTTCATAACTCTAATTGATTCGTGACCGTATGTTCCACTACCTTAGACAAGAATTGTAGGTTACAGGTCGGTAATTTTTTACATTTTAATCAAGTCCAGGTTTTTTAAGGAGCGGACTTGGTTCCTTGTGTTTCTGTTTCCAAGTCATGAGAGTCACTCAAGCAAAAATTATACACAAACATAACTACATAATCGACAACAAAATAGTGTGCTTAATGAAACTAAGGATCACACCTTCCTAGGAATTATAACATGAATTGTAATTTAAAATGGAATGGAATTGAACAAATTATCACCAAAGTAAATAAAATGCTGGGTATAAGTCCTGTCCTTGCTTGTACATCATCATGTTGGTTTTTTTTTTTTACAGTAAGGCTAGTTCTAGCAGAGTTGCTTGGCAAATGCCAGACTGTAAAGTAAGGCATGTGCAAAAAATATATCCTCCCTTCAAAAATTATATTTAGAAATCCGTCAGCGTATTTTGGAAAATGAGGTCAGATTTCCCGCAGATTGTGCCGAAAATTAGGCTTTGGTCTAAACTTAATGTATAACCATGCATTATGTTATAATTCCGCACACCTATTTTCATAGCATTTTTCCGTGAAAAGTTTTTGATGTATCATCCGCGCAGATTGAATACTTATTATTATTACTTATTATTGAATATTATGGGACTATTTGTTTCCAGTGTTTACTATATTTCTTCACCAATAGATCAGACCAATCACAAATCAAACAAAAAAAATTCATCCGCATTTATTTTTATTAAGTCTTAATTTGCATTTTTTTTTTCTTTCATGTTAATGAATGTCTAAATTCAGTTAAACCAGCAATTTTGTATTATATTTGTAAATCTTAAAAATGAAATTTTGCAGGGAATGGGGCTTTAATACAAGATATGGAAACCATGCAAAACAGAAGTGCAAGGTTTGTCATGGGTGATGGCAGATTCAGTAACGTCTCTGGTAGAAAAAAAGAATTTAATTGGGATCCCTTGCAATTGTAGAATAACAAACAGAATGACCATTTACAGCAGGCTTTGCATGGTCATCTTTTGCATCCTATTACAAATGCATTTGTGTCCTGCCCCATACTTATCTGTCGGACATTTTACATATTCTAAGGTGCCCGCTTAAAAGGACTGGTACAGATTCTCTTCCATACTGAGAAGTATATGAGACTGGAATCAAATCCCTAAGGAACATACAACAATACATGACAAAGAAAAGTTCAAGACCGCTATAACTAATCACCTGAAGAATCTATTGTCCAGATGCTACCTGTGCCACAACCCCTCCTCGCATTGCTCCTTTTAGGGCCATTGAGGAGTATTCATCCAGATCCATGATGGAGTACAATTTTCTTTGTTATTTATGACAAACATACTTGTATCAATAATGACTGAGTTTTTAATTTGTATATTTGCTAGTTATACATGACACCTGAAAGTATCTTCGTGATTGTTTTTAAGATTGCTGATGACCTTGATGCATACGTGAATGTTATAGATTCATCCGGAGTAAGCATTTCAGAATTTTATTAAATATTTTTAACAAATAAGGATAAGATATTACCTCTGATTTATATTTTGAGAGGCTTCTGTTGTCGCTGAATACTCTGTAATCAATCTATGTGAAATTCATCGAAACAATTTCAATCATTTAAATGCTAATTCTAGGATGAATTTCACTATGTAAATATTTTAGAGGATAAAAAAATGATTAAAAAAATTGTATAGTATATATACAAACTTGGTTTTTTTTTCTGCAGAAAGAGCACCAACACTACCTGACAAATCTAGAGTATTTGTTGTATTTTATCCGATCAGCTTACACATACTCAAAAGACGATGATCGTTGTACTGATGAGGAGATAGACTTTCCAGTATGCATCATTGTTGGTACCCATCTCAATTCACTCACTGGAAGTGAAGAGGAGATACGTAAACAGGTAAACAATACATTACTAAAGAACTTTTGTTTAATAATAGTTGGATTTGTAGAGCGCATCATGCGAAAAAGCCTCTATGCGCTTTGAACCATGTAGACACATATTTTGTCTTTCTTCAATTTATATTTCTTGGTTAATCAATGAGGCAACAATCTATCAATATACTATGCCTGAAACTGTAAAGCTGCACAATACAAACTCAATAATATAATAAATAATATAAAACTTGGTTCAAATATCTTCTTATTTTGTAAGTTAGTGAATTAAGTATTTGATGTTCACTTTGTTTATATAAGATTAACTTTCAATAATTTTTTTTCTCACCAACAAGTGGACAATACAAATGGATAATATAAACCAGTTGTCTTTTTTTAAAATAATATTATACCATCTTGTGCTTAAATGTTGGATGTATTTAAAAATTTTATAGTACAATAATAATAATAATAATAATAATAATAATAATAATAATAACAATAGTAATAACTAGATTTGAACTCGTCACTGAGAACGAGTTAGGTGATCCGCCGTACATTGACCTTCAGTAAGCGCGCACGGTCCAGATTTAAAAGTTTTATATGCTAAAATATGCTCTAATTAGTTTTTTATTAAAAAAGAATAAATTTTAGCGTTTTAAAAGATTTACGCATGCGTACGTGCACTTCTTTACTCCCGTGAGCACAGCAATGGCACAAAGAGTACTCATATGAATACAGCGTCAGGAACCCAAAATATGTAACATAACATAATTTCCAGCTTCATTACGTGCTTTGAGTGTGAAAATGAACGTACGGCGCGTAAATTATGGAGAGTTAGAATGCTCAAATGAAACGTTCTTTAAATTATCTGAAAAGTGATATTGAGAATTTTTAAATTCCAACACAAGTGCATGTCACGAAGTGTACATGGATGGTAATGGAACATGAAATTAAACATTGTCAAGTGTTTTTAAAACCACCTGTTGTTAATGCCACACAAATTTTCCCTTCAAATAACCTAATATCAGTCTGACAGCATTGAAATAAAGTTTTATATTCATTACATCTTTTAAGAAAAGGAGAACGGAAAATTGAGGTACCTGACATTCATCCTTGACCTGAAGTGTATGTCCATTTAATATGATTCAGAAATGACGAATGGTTAAGATAATTATGGGATCATCAAAGTATTAAAATGGGAAAAATGAGGGGGTGAAAAAAAACACATTTATTTTGACCAGGATGACGTCATCAAAAGGAATAAAGAAGTCATATGAAAGAGAGATGTCTCAACTAAAACATACACAAAGTTGGGAGATGATCAATTAAGGACAAGCGAAATATGCTCAAATGCGTATTTTAAAAAATGGCAATATGATGACGTCGTCACAATGTCCGATCAACCATTATGATCTATAAGATCATAATTACAACTTATGTTCTTTCAGAATATGTAATAAAAATTGGGGGTCACCTTTCATCCTAAGGAGCTATAACTGATTATAAATAGGCATAATTATAAGCATATGTAGTTGTTGTACATTAAGACGCGTGAACAGAAAATTCAGAAATTACGAATGGTTAAGGTGATATGACGTCATCAATATTTTGAGGAAAGAAAGATGTAGGGGGTAAAAAAAACCATTTATTTTGACCATGATGACGTCATCAAATGTAAAAGAAGTCACATATATGAAAGAGAATTGTCTCTGCTATAACATACTCAAAGCTAAAAGACGATCGACCACGGATAAGCGAGATACGCTCAAATGCGTACTTTAAAAAATGACATCATCAATAAAATCAGTTTTGTTGAATTCAGATGGAAATATAATATCCTAAGGAGCTGTAACTGTTTAAAAATAGGCCCGATTTTAACATATTTTCACTGTATACCAGCACAAATACGCGCAAAGATCCCTATGTTTGATGTGCACGTACGACATTGCTATTGGCCATAACATGACTGAAAAGAATGGAAATTTGTGAAAACTATTTCAGAATCCCAAAATATGTAAAAAAACGTAATTTCCAGTTTTCGTACATGCTGCGCACGTGAAAGAAAATTTTAAATGCTCAAAATGGCCTGAAACGTGCTCTAATTTAGTCAAAAAGTGATTTCAAGCATTTTGAAATTTTTACATTACATTCAACATTGACCAGAAGTTTATGCTTATTTAATACGATTTCGAAATGGTAATTGGTTAGGCTGATATGTACGATAATGGAAAAATGCAAAATTGCGCGTAGATGACGTCACGCATGACTGAGCACATTGAAAAGCTTATTGTGACTATAGATAAAGATGATGATGATCCTGACAATAACAAGAGGTGATCCGCTCGAGAAGCGGATCACCAATAATAAATTAGTTTTCAATTGAAATATAGAATGAGAAAATATTTTCTTTAAAAAACTACACTACTACTACACTACTACTACAACTACAGAAAATTGTGTCGTTGATATTACTACTTTTCATAATTATAGATACTATAGTATTTAAAAAAAAAAAAAAATTTAGTGATAGTTTTAGTACCGTAACTTTTTTGGACAATTGTCGTTTCTTTTTTGTCCTTTTTGTTAGTTGCTTTTGTGTGTCCTTGAGCATGGGACTTTTTTTGTTTTTGGAAAAAAAAATAAAAATTAAGAATAGAAAAGAAGAAGAAAAAGAAAAAAGAGAAAAAAATATATTTTTAAACATATTAGAGTGTGATAATAGCTGTATATTTTTTTTGTAGATCGAGGAGAAGTTTGCCAAAATTCGCAAAGCAATTGAAAGTCAGGTGTACAAGTCCCATGTCCATCCCAAATATTTTGCTGTTGAGAACAAACTCTCATCTTCAGATGGAGAATTCATTAAACTCAAGAAATTTATTCTTGAAATGAAAGAGAAGATGGATCGACTTATCCCTCTCAAGTGGCTAGATTTGTTGAAGGCGATCCACAAATTAAGTGAAGGACAAGTGACTCTTCCTCTGGAGCAGGTACGGATTCATAATAATGTCATTTCCAAATAAAAATAATAATAATATGATTTAGATAAGAACAAGACCACTTAATTTCGTCCTGAAAACAGCTGAACTGTATACAAAATAGTTATTCACGCTCTACGGTCTACTGAGTTTGAAAAAAAAACAATTTCATTTACCAAATCGCTGTCAGAGTTGCACTGCACTCTGAAATGTATAGTGCTCCATGGTCTTTTGGATTTGTAACAACAACAGTCTAGTAAAGCACAATTTCGAAAATGGAGTCTGATAAGAGCGATATTGATGTAGGTCTAGGCAGTGCTCGAAAAGGAATAGTAGTGTTGAGCTTCCTCCAAAAAAGAAGCTAAAACACACGCAAACATGCAAGTTAATAACGGAAAGTATCCTGTTTTAAATCAAAACTACAGTCGGTGATGCCTACGGTACGCTCGTTGTGATTGGTGCGGTGTTGATGTTATGCCTAGGGCCTAGTCTTGCACGGCGGTATTGCTGATTGTGATTCAAAACGTTTACATTTTACAATCACATTTAGCATGTCTTAGGAATACTCCTCTCACATTGTCAAAACTCTGCTCTGCATAATGATTGGTCTGTACTGCATAACAATCGGTATGTATTGCATAACGATTGGTTTGTACTACATAGTGATCTGTATGTACTGCATGATCTGACAACAATGCGACATTGATTTACAATAAAGACATACAAAAAAAATATATATATAATTAATGATAAAATTAATGTATCTAAATAAAGTCAATAACCAAACAAATATTGAAATATTTAAAATATATATACATAGTATTCTTAGAATTATATTATTATATTTATCTTAATTAAAACATTATAAAAAAAAATAATTTAATTTGAGATTATTTTCCAGTTAAAATTGATTTATTAAAAACTTTTATTTTCTATAAGATATCGAAAATATTTAATTGATTGCATGTTAAATTCCATCTCTTTGTACCAATGTATTCAGGTCCTGCAAAACTGTGCTGTCAAGATCATTACTAGGTCATCATAGTATGATTGCAGTACACAAGCCTTGCAAAACCTTTACCTAAAAAAAATAGAGAAGCAAAACCATGTATTCAATTTGAATGTTCCTTTATATCTTTCTGACCGTTTTCATATCAGAAATAATAGCTATAACATTAGACCAGCTGATGTTATTAATTTTGATATTCCTAAAGCTAAAAATGAATATAAGAAAAATAATAAGCCTTGGAATAACCTTACAGATTATCTGAAATGTGCTCCTAATGTACATCTTTTAAAATGTTTACTTTCATAATTGTTTAACTTTGACTTTGTTTTTACCCCTGAAAAACCTTAACCAAACACAAACAGGTTATTTTTGTGTGTTATCATTTATTATTTTTTTTTTATAATATTATATAATCATTATTATTATTATTATTCCTGAATTCCTTTTTGCTACTTGTTAACCTTTTGTTCAAACGTAGTTTTAATTTTGTCTTTTACTTTTATGTTTTCCTTATATTTTTTACTTCTTATATGGTCTTGCATGGCCTTGACGAAAGTGTGTCCATGTAAAAATAAGTATATTATTATTATTATTATTATTATTATTATTATTATTATTATTATTCTAGTTTAGAATGTTATGCCCTTGTCAATCGTAGTCTCATCCCCAACCCGGGCTATAGCGGGGCTCTAGCCTGGACTGAGCTGGGGCTGTACACATACCTGTAGTTGTGACCCGTAGTGCCGGGACGTACGTACCTAAGTTTTACCCGTAGATATTACAGGCCTCTGAAGGCCCGAGAATTTTACGTGTTAGATTAGACACGGTTTTGGTGTGTACGGCAGTAAGTGCGGGGATTTAGCCGGGGATGTATGTTAAAACGATGCCCCACATTGCCGGGAGGTGGCCGGGATTTCACATGCATTTAACCATTTTGGAAATTACATCCACAGCTGAGTCCCCGCTAGGCCGTCCGGGGCTGGGGGGACTACAATTGACAAGTGCATTACCACTAATATTACTATGCTAAATGAGGTATTAATATGTAATTTTATGTATAAAATCCATGTCACTAGTCCATTCATTTAAAATGTCAAATTTTCTAATTTCATGAAGGTTAAATCAATGGCAAGGCAATATTTGATATCAGATGAGACAATTGACTATGCAATCAAATACTTAAGTGATGTTGGTGAAATCATGTATCACTCAACAGAAGAAGCATTAACGGACATAGTGGTGATTAAACCAATGGATATTGTTGAGTATGTCAGGCCTGTGTTCACCATCGTAAAGCCAGAAGACCAGGTATGTTAGATTCATTAGCTTGGTTCACGTCGAACTTTTATCTAGATATACATCCACTTAACTAGTTAAAAGTTCGACGTGAACCACTCAATTATAGCTAGTTAAAGGAATTAAGTCACTTAAGTTAAGTGACTTAACTTTACTAGAATAACGGTAAATTAACTTGCTTAACGGTAAAGTCGGCTCGGATTAAAAGGGCACGATTACGTAACATAGGCATTAAGCCAGCTTTGTTGTATTGTACCACCATTATCATCTTCTGGCTGGCAACAACGTACTTCAACAATGCTAACAACAGCATCGAAGTAGTCTCATTAGTCTGGTTTTCAGAAATTATTTGTAATATTTTGGGTAAACTCCCAGCAAACGTCCGTTTTACGAATAGTCAATATTACCAATGACCTTTGCCCTTTGCAATAATAACGTTAAAAAGTCCGATTGCGTACGTTTTTCAAAGTGATAATGTATATTTTTCTTAATAATAAAATCAGATTTGTTGTATTTATTTATTGACAATTCAATCTTTTCTATTTCTGCTATAATAGTTGCTATTAATTCAATTTCAACGAACTACCACCAACGCCAGCGTTAAAATGAACGCACATGTTTACGATGACGAAATAAAAAAGTGTGTGGGAGTCAGCAACTTATTTGACACCGCGAAGCTAGATTTTCGCGAAGTGCATGTAAACAACACAATTGAGCGATCTAAAAACTACTAAACAGGAAAGAAAGGTCCATAAAGTATACGTACGTTTTAATGAAAATTAAAACAACATTTTGTTAAATGGAAGAATGCTAGCTAGCAATTAAAATAATTCGTTTTTTATCGAAGGTAAATGCTAGGGCCAGGGCCTAGAGAATCTACCACTTAGATTGCGATAGAACACGCTGCTGCACTGGTCGTTGGTTTGTACTGGTCGGCTAGGTTAGGTAGTGGAAACTCACACCTTTTCTACACAGTAGTTTACAATTTTTTTAAACGAATACCACTTGGTACTAGAGGTTCGTAAAATACAGTAGGCCTAGATGTTTTATTAAACAAGCCTTTCGACCGTGTGACGTCGATGGCCTGAAACTGGCTGGCTGTTTATCTGGCTCTAACATGGCATCGAACGCAATTAGGGGATCATCGTATCATGTTTCAAGACGGGTATATCTAGATAAAGTTCGACGTGAACCAGGCTATTGTCAAAAGTAAATGTAATGCCCAGCTCTGTAGTTATTCAAGGTGGAACTGATCAGGTTTTAAAACAAGAATTGCAATCAGCCACTGGAGTGAAGTAAAAATTATAGAAAGTGTAAAATTGCATAAAACATTTGGATACAAAGACCCATAACATTATGAATGGGATTTTAAGAGTAGATACAACTTTAGGACATATCAGTATTATTATTCCTATATTAACACGTTGACTGCCAGACCTTTTTTTACGGTTCCTTCCCGTGTGCCAAAACAAGTTTACATGTACAAACATACTTTTTTGAAATTCTATCTAGTCATATATCATCAAAATGATGTGTCTAATAAATTGGTGGGAAAATATTAGGGTTCGAGTATACTTGTCGATGGCACTGTGATAGAACTTTTTACTGACTATGCCATGTGCGAGTTATCTCGTCCTCTTTTTGCATGGGTTGGTATATGTTCAAAAGGCGCCCCCACTTGTACCGCTCGAGTGTACTACCGGCAACATAACACAACAAACATACATATGTCATTTGTACGTTATCATCTAGGTTTATCTTCCCCGAACTACCAGCCGTTGAGTCTGTAGTCCTACATTGTATAATAAAGAAGTTATAAACGCTAGAATGTTCCCCCGTTTTTTGACGAGTATACTCGTTCCTGGCGCCCTCAGCAACACCCTGTGGGCGAGTATACTCGTCGCTGGCAGCCAACGTGTTAAAGTAGTTCTAGAAATTTCAAAAGTGGCATCAGGTCTAGGTTGCCATTTCTTTTCTTTGTGCTCTTAAGTATTTTGGGACGGTTACATTTTTTTGTACATTTAATTAATCTAATGAAGTAATGCTCTTTGATTTTTTTCCCACACAGGCAGCAAAACTCAAAGATGACTGGCAAAAATTGGAAAAAGGTGTTCTAACAAAGCGCCTTCTAAAGCATCTTTGGAAGAAGTTTCCGATATTTCAGCAAGATAAAGATGAGGAAATGTTTCAATTTTTTGTCAACCTGATGAAGAAATTTGGCCTCATATGTCAGAAAAGGAAACAAGTATGATCAAATTAATTTTAGTTGATAGTGTAGTAATTTTCATAAATGAGCATTTTGGATATTTTTCAAAATGATTGTGTGTATCAAACTGGAGATTGCACCCTTGACCAAGGCCAAATTTGATGAATGATAAAAAAAAATTCATTCCTCAAAACTAAATAAAACAATGATTATGATTCAAAACGAAAAATAATGCTGCACTTTAATAATAATAATAATAATAATGCATTTATAAATCGTTATCTATGTAGGTAAACCTATTCCGAGGCGAATCTAACTTTCTATTGAATGGGGAAGGCAAAATTTAAAAAACATGTTAAAAAGGAAAAACAGTGACAATAATGAAATTATTTTGGTGTACACAACGACAGTTACACCATCTAGGCTAAAGCAGGCAGGTCCCCAGGACTTAGCTAGTCCTACACCAAATAATAATAACATTCTTTGTCTTCTCATTCCCACTGTTAACATTTCCAAAGAATGAGAGTTGCAGATTTTTTGCTTAGCTACAGTATATTCACTGTGCGCAAAAACATAAACATCAAACAAGGTCGTACTAGGATTATCAGCTATGTCAAACAAAACTGATAAGTTTGATGTTGAAGATATTACATTGTTGTCCATTTTTTATCCGAAAAAGTATGAAGAAACATGGCCTTTTTATAATGTAAATTCAAATAAACTAAATATTGTATAGGTTAAAAAATTCCCACACTTTAAATGGACAAATATAGTATAGAAATATGTCAAATACAGACACAATGTATACATAGGCCTAGGCCTTGAGTCCCGTTAGAATATATAACTGTATATCGAAATGATATATTTATATATTATATATTATGCGTATGTAAGTTGTTTAGTAAAATAAATTTAATTTAACAATATATGAAAGAAGCATAGGAAAAAAGAAGAGTAAGTGTAAATTCAGTGTGTTGATTTCATCTAATAATGGCAAAAATTTGTGATATATAGTTAAAGTATGTACAGTATAGTATGATGTATTATTAATTATTGAATATTAATTGTTCAGAAATTTACATTCTTTGGATTAAGAAAATAAACCACATCTACCCTTTCTAACTCTTCTTTCTCTCACTTTTCTTGGTCCCATAGAATAATCATTCAGATGGTATTGAATACTATGCTCTTTCACATATACCACCAGAGCAATATTCAGAAGATCCAATATTTGACCAAGGAAATGACAAAGTATCCATCTTCCATGACTTCTGTGGTTTTCTTCCTGACTATTTATTCCATTTGGCTGTCACTAAATTCATTGAGGAGTTTGAAATGGAAAATGGACGTGACACTGAACTGGCATATGAGCATGCAGTGCTTACTATTGACATTCGTCATTATGTGAGGATAGCAGTAGCAACTATCAACCACCATCGGATGTTTAAGGTACAATTATACTTACTGTCTACCCCAAGTATTGGAATACACGCCATCGTGTTGGGATTCAATATTTCGACATTAATTATGTCATCATAATTCCTGATTCCTGATTATGACATAATTAATGTCGAAGTATTGAATCCCGACACGATGGCGTGTATTTCAATACTTGGAGTATGTATTATACTTTCTTATCTGAGATTAATCAGTGGACCTTTCGATTACTGTCTAAATTTATATGTCAGTCTGTTACTGCAAGGTTAGCCCTGTTGTCGTAGCATTCTTTTAAACTGCGATTTAGCAGCAAATCTGCCATTGTTTGGAAGCCATCCAGCGACTGTATATTAATAGAAAAACTGCAATTGCACACATTCCGTCATTATTGTTGGTTGTAATTTGCTATGTCTGCTAAAAAGTCGCTTTAATATGAATTTATTAAGTAAAAGTTAAAGTAGAAAGTTGAACATCAGATGATAAACTATAAGGTGCTGAGCCGGATAGGATAGGTGGTGGATTGGGCAGTACTCCAGGAGACAATTCCCTACACTTTTCCGAAGAGCCTACTGTGTTCTTTAATGTGCACATGGGTCATAAATGCACACAGGACCAACGGCTTAAACGTCTCATCCGAAAGACGGTACGCTATTGTAATTTGTATTTAGCCCTCCAGCTGAAACACAAGGAGAGGCAGCGATGGGAATTGAACCAAAGACCTAGAGATCTCCACGGTTCAGTGCACACACAGTGGCTACCACTAGATCAGCCGACTGAGCTTGTTAGCATATATTTGCAAGCCTTAAAGTTGATTACAGTGTTTACACAGTTCCATTTCAAGATTAGCAGCTTTTGATTAGCATTCCTCTGACTTCAGAATTTCAGGCCAAATGTTTGGTCCTCTGCTTGAGAAAGATGAAAGACCAAGAAATGAATCTGGATGGACATTCTGGTACCTTTATATCTTTTCTGAAAAAACTCATATTGTATTTTAACTTAACAAAACCCAAGAGTCTTATACTTGAATAAACCAACAATTACCAAAGTACACCTCCCACACCACAAGAGTGTACTTAAAGCATTTCTATGTGACATATCAGAAGTGAAGTCTTTTAACATTTTGGTTTGAATATAGATGCCAACATCATCTTTGATATATGTGATTTGAATATTTTTCATAGGTAGTGTAGTGGTGGTATTATGATTTTCTCAAAAAGGTGTTGGGAGGGTATGCCACGCAAGTAAATGCACGTAATTGGAGAGTAAGCCTTGGACCATCTATGGGCCTCAGAGGTATCCAGTGATGAAGCCTTGAAAGTTTTGGCAAGAAAAAGTTTAAAAGCTTATATTAATTGAATAATAAATCTTATAATCCATTAAGATTATGTAAACCTCTACTGCACTATTTATACTACTAAAATAACGTTTTGTGTTTTTCTCTGTCTAATATCTCCGAAAGTATTTCAAGTACAATTATGATTTTCACACATGTAGCTACCACCAATGGAATGAACATCCTCTACATTAGGACTCGATTATGTTATCCTACATGTGTTTATTGGGACTTGATTTTGTTATCCTACATGTGTTTTTTTGCTGATTACTTCTAAATCTCGTAACTGTTGTGACGTCATTGTGCCGTGCACCTGATTTAATATGCATGTTACAAGTCCCACATGCACACATTCATAGCCATATTGACATTGATAGATTCTATCAATTGTGGTAGAACGTCGGTGCGACAACATATACTGTTTGTTGCTCTCCGTCTTTACATGAATATCGTGGTTTTAATGCTGAATGGATTACCCCAGAGTACCTTAAATTGACTAAGGACAGAGACTACTACTTTTCTAGGGCTCACAAAACAAATAATACCCTTGATTGGGCAAAACCTAAAGAACTTAGGAATAGAGCAAATAATATGAATCGTTATCTTAAAAAAAAATATTGTTCAAAGACTATTAATGAAATTATTGATAAACCCCAAAAAATTTGGAAAACTATAAAAAAAAAATTACTGGTAATGACTAAAAAGAACCAATCAGTTCTATATATCTGGGAATGAAATATTCTCTGATTAATTTGAAATTGCCAACAAATTTAACTCTTATTTCTCTTCCATTGGTGAGTCCTTAGCACAACAACTTAATAATAACTTATCCCATAATTCTAACCATACGAACAATCTTGACTTTTATAATCAATTTAATTGTGAATTAATTTCACTTGAAGAAGGCTTTGATCATATTAACTCCTTTCCAAATAATATACAGTAGCTTCTGCTGTTGATGAACTTGATCTAAAATTAATATTGCTTCCCCCAATATTTGTCATCCTATAGCTCATATAATTAATCAACAATTAATTAGCAACTTTCCCATCAGCATGGAAAATTGCCAAAGTTACTCCTGTATTTAAAAGTGGTGACAGACTAAACACTGAAAATTTTAGTGCCGCCCCTGCTTATTGATGTTTCCGAACACATTCTTAATAATCTTAACAATGGCAAAGTTAATGCTGCTATTTCCTTTGATTTAAAGAAGGCTTTTGACACCGTTAACCATACTATTTTAATTAACAAACTTAAACAATATGGAATCAGAGGCAGTACTTTAAATTTAAATCCAAAATACCAGATCCTAAAGAAATCACTATTGGTGTCCCTCAAGGATGAATTCTTGGCCCCCTTTTTTGTATTATAATATAAACTTCCTTCCTGAAATTATCAATCCCGATTCAAACTGTGCAATTTTTGCAGGTGATGCATTATTTTTTGTTCTGCCTTTGATCTAAACGAATTAAAATCTATCATTGACAAAAATATAGCCAATATATCTAAATTGTTTAATATAAATAAATTAACAATTACTGTTATTAAAACAAAATTTATGGTATTTGTTCAAAATTCAGTTTCCTAAAATTTTCAAATATTTCCTTATCAATAAACAGTCATTTAATTGATAAAGTTGATAATTTTAAATACTTAGAAATTACCTTTGATAGTTTTCTTTACATAGGATATAATATTGAGAATTTTTGTTCCGAAATTTCTAAATGCATTAGTGTTACTCGTATGTTAAGATATTTTTTACCAAATTCTTCTTTTAGACTTTTAGCAAATTCTTTTGTATTACCTTCTTTCAGTTGTAGCACTGTATGGTCTAATTGCACAGCTGTGCATCTTAATTCACACCAGGTTTTACTAAATAAGCTAGCCAGAATTATTTTACATGAGCATTTAGGTATTTTGGTCAGGCAGGAGAGTCCACACCAACCTCAATGAAAATGTTTAAATATGGGAAGCATGAAATGGCACTCTCAGACCTATTTTAATATAGTTTTCTATACAGCCTACTTTTACCTGATAGCTAAACTTTGTTCCATCCAGAGGTCAGGCCCGTACGCATATGGGGGGTTGGGGGGTGCATACACCCAAAAGGTCCATTCAAGACACACCCATACGCTCCAGAAATCCATCCACCAAAACTCATTAACCAATCAGAGCAGTTTTCCAACTAGGCCTGCCTCTAATTTGTTGTACAAGCAAGGCCTTCTAACTGTATTTATTCAGTCTGCGAGTGTCACTTCTGGCCATCTAGAGGTGCTATAATCATAATTTTATATAGACCCCAGTGGTAGATTGAAGGGGGATTGGGGAGCTTAGCAAGCCGACCTGGGCCCCTTATAATTTTTTGAAAAAAACATACTGTTTAGTTAAAAGTAATTTAAGTCCTCAACCCCAACCATGGTGGGGCCAGATGAGGTGGGTGTTCCCGGATCATTTCTGTGAAAGGCCTTCCCTTGACTCCCCCTCTATTTCAAATTCCTGAATCTACCACGGTCCCTTTCTGGCCTGGTAAAGTATGGATTATTCGCTTCCCCCTCGCTTAAAAACAACATCAAAGTGATTTATTGCTTTCCTTACCCTGCTCCCAATCAGATCAGTAGGCTTATTTTATGAATTCTTTTTTTTTTTTTTGGCGTCTACCAATCTCATCCACGATGTAAAGAGCTTGTCATTATTTGTTCATATTCGCAATTTCCATTAATTCCATTTGTTTATAATATAACATTTACATTTGTGGTAAAAATTTAGTATTTTGAATGCCCAATAATATTATGGGTTTTTTTCATTTTGTGCTATAGACCTACATTATTTCTTTTACATTTAACTTTATTAATGTTTGATTTACCTTGTTTTATAATTTTACATAGTACAAAAAAAAAAAAAAAAAAAATCTGAAAAACCACCTAGTTGAAAGTGGGATGTTTCACATCTATGCTATGTGTATATCTAATTTGTAGAGATTTATTTTACTTAAATCTCAATTTATTCATATTACGATTCTTTAGATTTAATCATATTAGTTCATATTGCATCTTCAAAATCTGTTAAGACCTCGAAATATCAAGAATATCCGAGCACGAGGGAGCTCTGCCCACTCGACCTTAGAAGGGCTACGTCCTCACCCCCCACATTTTAGTCCCCTATCCACAAATTCGCACCTACCCAATAAAAATCGGGCATGAGTGGTGGATCTTGGAGTTTGAAACACAGGGGTGCCAAAGAAAGGGGGATTTCAAAGATAAAGGGTACAAGAATCTTGGCTTCATGATGGTTTAGACTGAGGAAAAACAAATTTATGGTTTTGACACTTCTAGGTGACCGCAAAAGGCACTCTTAAATTTAAATTTTACTACAATTTTCTTTTTTTAATCCATTTCTTTTTTTTTTTAACTTTGAAAAATATAAGGGGAGGGCGAGCCGAACCTCGAATCCACTACTGCCATCAAAAGCCAAAATTTGCTCTTTGATGCGCATGGTAGCGTTTTGACACGGGGCACTCAATAATAGTATTATTAATTTTTAAAAATGTGTAACTGAATTTAATATTTATCATCTCAGCAAAATATTGGTCAGACGTCCGCCTGATCTGCCGGACCACCTCCATTTTATCTGTGTACTAGTATTGGAATAATGATAAAAGGAAGCAAATAATAGGTTTTAATTTTTTTGTAATTTCTGTAGACAACAGTTGTGAGGAGACAAGAACCTAATGCTTCTTGTGTTAAAGAGCCAGCACCTGAAACATGTGAAAAGGTATGTGAACAGTTATTTATTTTGATCTGCATGTTTTTCTCTACCTAGGTTTATAGAGATCATAGGATGCTGTTTAAGAAGTAAAGATATTTGCACCAGGGAAGAGTGCATAGAGAGCTTTTTGAACTGGACATCAGTGGGTTTAACTCAAAGCACTGCTGCATGAATACATTATTATTTGTCTTTTTGGTAGAACAGCAGCTTTCTAGCTAGATATAGGCTTGCCATTTGATATAATAAAACGCACAAATAAAAATGTTTCATAAGAGCCATTTCCTAGTTCCGTCTGCATGGCTGTGTTGAAGATAAACGTGCATAAACAAATCACACTGTGCAAGGCCTACAGTCAGTGACGTAACGATGGGTCAGGGGTCCCTGTGTACTTCTGAAACTGGGGGCCCTTTTTTGGTCCTGGCCACCAATTCCATTGTGCGATTTTGGGTGTGCATTATTTTAACGACGAATATAATTATATAATATGCTTCCAGAAAATTGAGGCCAGGGACTGACTTTCAGTTGGAGATTCAATACCACCTCAGACCCACCATGCATGCACGTAACAGGGGTCTTGGGTTGGGGGGGGGGAGAGGTAATAATTCTTCCAGTTAGTAATTTATCGTACCCACCAACCTTCCCCCGTCCCCCATCCAAATAGAAAACAATAGGGCTTATCTTATTTATAGTATAGGCCAAACATATGTGTTTGAAACTAAATATAAGCATTTTCATCAATTTTCAATTTTTAGTTCCTTTGTGACTTAGGTCACTGCGGAACTATTGGGTTGATACAGATGTGAAGTGTGCATGTGTGTGTGTGTGTTGGTGTGGCAACAACCAGTCTGTATGTTTGTAAACAAATAGGCTCCTAAACGGTGCCTCGCGGCAAGTATACTTTGTGCCCAAGAGGTACTGGTGGACATGTAATTGTGTGGGAAATGTTCGTTTTTTCGGTTAGATAGAAAATGTAAGCTGTATGCGATAAAACATATACCCCTACCACCAGTTTTGAGTTGTTTTTTAGTTCAAATTTTGATTTGTGCATGCGTCAGGAAAACTTTGCCGACATTTTGTTTTTGTCATGAGCGTCTTATTGAAGTTCGTCATTTTGTTTTCGTGACTGTCTGAACATTGAGCAAGCTGAGATGATGTGGCAAATTTGTGTAATTATTAATTTATGGTGTACTGTGTTTTTTATTAGTGTTTTAGTATATAATCAGGTGTACCTATCCTGGTGTGTGTTCAATCATGGAGGTATACTGGTTTGTAGGTGTACCCTGTGTTTTAGTAAATACTTAAGGGCGAAGAATACATTGAATGAACAGTATGTCACTACACACGATGAAGACGATTTTATGAAATTGTTGGACCTAGCTAAAAGCCCAACTTGTTGAAATAATTTCTGAATTTAGTCTGCACTGGGTGGGGGGAGTTGAAGTGATATACAGCATGTGATGGACGGACTAGGTGGGGCACCTTGCGTATCAGAAGCGGGTCTGTACGTTCCTTTGTAGGCACACGCAAAAACTAAAAACAAATTTGGGAATTGCGATAATTACCCCAAAGTCATTAATTGTATTTTACTAAATTTGAAGGCCCTGCTGTAGTAGGTATGCCACCACCAAACCTGAAAACTATCAGTAGGTCGATGCACGTGCTGTATCTAACGCCATACAACGTATGCGTGGTCATTCACTTCATTCATTCATTTATTTATTCGACCAATACACATTTACAATAGGAACAGTACAACGAAAATTATGGTCAGGGGCAGCAATAAGCAAAAACAATGGTGCATCCCATATAAGCAAAATAGACTTGAAATAGAATTTAATGCAACTAAAATGTATATACAAAAATATAAATTATCAACATGGCATGTAGTTTTACAGTATCGTATTATTTACAATAAAGCTTGAAAACGAATCAGTTGTTCGATGCACATGCTTTATCTAAACTACCATACAACGCATGCATAGTCATCAGTAGGCGGTTGTTATGGTTGTGATAAGCTATAAATAACGGCTGTGACTACGCTTGTGTGTTTAGTCTACCACCAGACTACTGTATTTGTAGGAATATTTTATTAACAGCCAACCGTCAAATCAATGAAAATGAACATTTGCAGAAATATTTTCCATCAAATAATGATGTTTAAAAAATGGACAAAATTATACAGCATCTAGGGGGTTGGTGAATGTCAACTTTTGTATAAATATTTTCCATCAAATGAAGTTTAAAAAAATAATAGACACATAGGGCATGTGATGGACGGACCAGGGTGGGGAGGGGGTGTTGGTGTAAGGAAAAACATTTGTGAGAATGTCTTCCATCAATCATGTTTAGGATAATAATGAACACATAAATATACAACATGTGATGGGCCACGGACGGACCAGGGTGGGGGAGGGGGTGTAGGGGTACGTAAAATCATTTGTGAGAATATTTCCCATCCAATGCTTAAAATAATAATGGACACATAATATACAGCATAGGCCTGTATGGGGGCGGGGAGTGTGAGATTAAGTAAAAACATTTGTGAGAATTATCCATCAAATGATGTTGAGAAAAATAATACACATAAATAATTACATACATGCCAACCATCCCGATTTCCGATGTCAAAAACACCAAAAAATCGGGACGTCCCTATTTTTAGAATTAAAAAAAAAAAAAATTAATTGCAAGAAGTATCCACTACTTGCCAGTTTGATGAAGGGAATATTAGTATGTGGTTCCCCGGGAATAATCCCATCCCCATGAACGCGAAACTGTCCCGATTTTGGGGGGTGGTATTGTACACGTTGATTCCCTAGTCCTAATGTATGAACAGACGAAAATGATGATCGTTTTGCGAGGTGGTTTTCACCTACGATTCAATAACCTATCAAAACAATGTTCAGGCAAAGAAATCAGTCTTGCATGATGTAACAAGTTATTTTTAGCAGCAAATTTATGTGGAAACACGTGAGTCATCACGCTGAGAATTAACGATCCGATCAGCCCACTGGGCAGGTCCCACAGAGACGGACCGCGGTGTTGTCTATCTTTAGCCGCAGTTAGCGAGCTGCTTATTTTTAGCGACAGTAAACAACAAAATAATTTACAAGAATGGGCTTTGTATTCAAATTTATGGCGACCAATATCTGTTGTAAGCGATTTTAAGAGTTTCAAGTCGGCAGAATTCAGAGACAATTCCTTTATTCTTTGAGCAATTGTTAAATTTACCGACCTAGGCCGACTTACCCAATCCCCAGACCCTGGGACTTTACCCGGGGAAATTCTTGTACGTGAAGTTGGGCATAAAGTCGGGGTGGGACTCTACCCGGGGAACTATGGTAATATGTTATAGCAGTAGTGACTGAGAGAGTTTTCTCTATTGTTGAAAAAACAAGACCAAGCTTCGAGCTATCGTAACAACAAAAGCTTTAAGTACTTCAATGACACACAAGCTGGAAATGATTATAAGTGAATAAATATTGACGTTATGACTCCAATGAGATTGGCGAAACAAGCAACATACCGTGCCCTTCATGGTGGAAGTCTGTAGGCCTACTGATTATGTAACTTAAATATTTTTGTTGGTTGTGAGGTAAATCAACAGTACACTTGAAATTAAGTAACTCTTGTTTTGTTTGAAGCAACTGTACAGGAATTATTATATATAATTGCCATCTTCATTCTTACAATTGTTTGTCACCAATGAATAGCGTCACTATTTTTGATATTCAAATGTTGGCAGGTATGTAAATATACAGCATTTGATGCACAGACCTGTATGGGGGTGTAGTTGTATGTAAAAACATTAGAAAACCATTACTGGACCACAATCCCTCTAAACTATGTTTACATACAAAAGAACGTACACACCCGCAGGGTTCTGGTTAGAGTAAATTGGCCTACTTCAACAAGAAATGCGCATGGAGCGGGCAAAATTTAAGGTTTTTAGGCACTTTCAAGGGTGAAAAGTGCATCTTCAAGGGATGGGGAAAGATTTTCCACAGATGAATATTTTCCCCTTTTCCCCCACCTGTTACGCCACAGCCACCATGGTTTCGGGCTAAGAAAATTTATAAATATGGCACATTTACAGACAAAATTATGAATTTTATTTTTAGGAGCAGATAGAAATATTTTGACAAGTTTAGTGGGGCCCCGGGCAGACAGTTTCCCCCTCCCCCACACTCTTTATTCTGCCACTAGATATAATATAATATATCCTACGATTTCAGATACACATTATTAAGATGCCCTTGGCTGAGATAAGAAAATGTATTACTATGGCATGTCTAGATGTAAATGACACTCACAGACTTCAAATTGTGAATGTAATTTTCTTTTTTATCTCCATTTTTATTTTATTTTTTTTTTGTGACAAATTTGGTGTGGTCCCGTGTCGCGAGGGGGCCCCATCGGCCGACGGAGCCCCTTCTCTTTAATCATTATAATATGATATATGCCCTACAGTTGATTTCAGAGACACATTATAGTTTTATTTATTAACAAAGTCCTTTTTTGGTCCAGGTGCTAGATTGAGGAACCTATGGGTAGGACCCCCTTCGAGGCCCCCAGAATTTGGGGGTCCTGAGGACTGCCGCATGAGAGCGCATAGGGGTCATTCAAGTATTATGTAACACATTTTTTGGCAAATATTGACACAATAAATATCAAAGTTAAATATAAATTAAATATATATGTATTAAATTAAAGAAACAAGATAATTGAAGATTTAATATAATGTACATTCCAATAATTATAAATGAATACACATAACTAAAAGAGTAAATAAAAAAAAAAAATTATAAAAGGCATATTTAGAAAATATATAATAGCAATAAAAGTAAAAAGTGATTAAAATAAATTTGTTACAGAAACAAGATAATCAAAAATTTAATAAAATGTACATTCTACCGAAAATAAATAATGTACAAACCTAATAATAATATGTAATAGGTTTCAATAAAGTAATATCATACAAGTTTGAATATTTAATATTTCTTCTCTTCCCATGAAAATTAATTTTGTTATGTAACACTTCAAGCAACACCCCCCAACCCTATGTCACACACTGTAACATTTTCAACTATACCCCCACCCCCCTCTGCGTTACATAATACTTGAATGACCCCATAGGCATTATGCCAGTACCTACAGCATGTTGATCTTTCATATAACCTCATGATTTGATTAATTTTATAGTTTTTTTTTACATATTGAAGATAATGTGCATTTGAAACTACAAAATGATGTATTGAAATTACTTAGTAATGAAGCAGTTGGTCAATCAGGCATTTCAGTCTCGCGCTTTCCATTTTACCTATTTCCTTGCTAATGTACATTATGTTTAATTTTGTCTCTTAGATTATTTATTAGTAATTGGGAAATATTCATCATAATTAATCATCTTTTCATTATCTAATCATAATCAATAATAATGGCTCTTAGTAACTGTTTTTATTTTGGTTTGTGCAGGTATTGTCATTTCTTGAAAGCGTCCTTAGGAATTTGTGCTTCTCTGCAAGAGGGATTGAATACAAGATGTGTATACGTTGTAGTGAGAAATGTCAGCGCATGCACTATGTTAAACATTTAAACAAAGATGAGGTGCCATGTGGAAAGCAAATAATAAGCATCAAACGCTACTTCAGATTGTTTGTAGGTGAGGTTTTACAGTTACTTGTTTATTTGCTTGTTTGTTTGTTTATTTTATTAGCATATATTTATGTATTTATTTATTCGATACTTGCTTATCCTGAAAATCCTCAGTTGGACGTAGCATCCCTGATATGCTAAACACAAGGAAGCTCTTTGCCATTCTGCCTGCTTTAAGCATGGTGATGTTTAGTAGCTCTTCAGTGTCTTTGTCCCAAAGTTTTCTTAGCTTTCTCTACCTCTTCCATAAATGTCTCTCTAGATAGTTGTGACTTCAGAGGCTTCATCATCAGCTATTGTCTGTCCACTGCTGGACAAATTTTTCAGGATTTCGACGCCAAATCAATCTTTTTCTCTTGCTGTGTTGCACCATTTCACTCTTCCCCAGTAAATATTGATCTCATATCTTAATCTTTTCTGTTGTTTTCCCTTCTTTGTTTTGCCATTCATGGAGTTTGTTACTGTTTGTATTTATTTGTACTCCTGCTGACTACTAGTTCAACAACCAGAATGAAAACCACTGAGCCAAACCGCATTTTTACCTTTTTTTCTTATTAATATCAATAATAATAATATTAATTTTAATATTATTTTACTTATTTCTATTCTTTCACATCCCCCACTAGCTTGGCTAGGCCTTTCTACTACTGCCGCCAGTGTGTGGCTTTTTTTAATGGGTCAATAAAACATGGATACTGTATGATATCTCAATAATAATTAGCCTAACAATAACCCTCTTCAGCATAAGGCACCGTATTTTTCTACATTAACCCTGGTATTCTTAAAACGAACTTTAGTCGTAGTTCGAGCTAAAACTAAAAAACTACATCATTTCGTATTCTTAAAACGAACTCCGACTAGCACTGTGACTAAATGACGCGAACCTCGACTAAAATGATACCTCCGCAGGCCGATTTTTTTAGTCAGGCTAGGGTCAGGCTAAATCGTCGACTTGAAATATTTACCCCATTAAAAACTTGTTTTTTTGTAAAGGATAAAGTGAAACGAATAAAAACAATTGCATACGCAGGTTTGATATATCTTCGGTGTGTTAAATAAAAGAGCAA